CACACAAAAAGATATAAATTCTTTAAACCTAACCTTTTTCAAATTTTTTAACAACTTGTTACTTTGAAATTGACATTTTATCAATATCATACTAAATAAAAAAATGTAGAAGCTATAAATTTATTTTTTAAGTATTTTCATGAGTTTTGATTATTTATGGATGCATTGTTGTGCATATAAAAACAATCAGTTATATATATACGAACATAACTTATTAAAACATGACTTGTTGATACATAAAAAAAGACATCAATTCTTTGAACCTAATTTTTTCAAATTTTTTAATAATTTTTTATTTCAAAGTTGACATTTTATCAATATTATACTAAATAAAAAATATATATGTTATAAATTTATTTTTCAATTATTTTCATCAGCTTTGGTTATTCTTGGCCACATTATTGTACATATCTAAACAATCACTTATACATATACAAACATCACTTGTACATGTTAATATTTTTCAACAAGTTGTTAAAAAATTTGAAAAAAATCAGGTTTAAAAAATTGGCACCTTTTTACATACAAACAAGTTTTATTCACATTTATAAAAGTGATTATTCTCAAATGCACAGCAATGCATAAATATTATATATATATATATATATATAAAGTTAAATTTACATTGTGTTGTTGATGTGTAGACGTTGTTATATTATATATAAATATTTTGTTGTTCATATACCTAGATAACTTGTGTATTATTGTTCAACTAAACAACATGGACAATGCATAATGTAACCTCCCTGAGGTTAAACCATAATTGATTACAAATCTTGGTAATTCAGGATTTAACTCTCAAAGGATTATTATATTGTAAAATTTATAAAAGAAATTTCTTGTTAAATCTTTTAAAGGAATCTCAATCTCAACAATTCAAATCTCAAATATGATTTAATAGACCCAAATCAGAGTTTTCAAAGTAAAGCGAAAGCTTAAAACTCAATGTAAGACCTAAAAATAAGTTTTAAAACTCAAAAACAAATTCTGTACAGATAATAACACGTGCGGCACAGTGTGTCTTCTTTGTGCCACACGCTGCGACACGAGGCACCATACGCCGCGGCGCATTACATGAAATTTGACAGATATGTGCTGTCATATGACAGCACAGGGTATGAACTTCTGACAGGTCCTAAATCTCTGTTCGACGTTCGATTGAGGTGATTTTGGTGTCTACACGGAGCTTTCTCCTAACTCTAGCTAATGGCATCGGTTTCACATTCAAGCTCATTTTCTAAAAAAAGTTGGACATCAAAATCTATTTTGACCACTTTCTGCAAAATCTCTCAAATGAGGTGTTCCAACTCTACCACACGTGCCAATAGCTTACACCAACCATTCGACTACACTCAATAGACTCTTGAGGATTCGTGCAATACACTGCACACAATCAAAAACACTTATATGATAAAATTACTACTCAATCTCGATTTTTATAAAGCATAAGGGAGGAGGAAATATTGCACAAAATCAACCATTTCATTTTAAATCTCTTAAAATACATATGTTTTCTACTTACACAAGTATTTTGGCCCTATCCACGAGTTCACAACCAAAATTCACTAACCCATGGTATAAAATACGCTAGTTATATACAAAATTATGTAAGTAGTGCATAAATCTTGTCAATTAATCCTAGTTGGCAATTACATTAACAAATATACATGAACATAACAAAAGAGAGGCATATAAAGGATTACTCTACAAATCCTAAGCCTCTGTATGTTTTTTCAACTCGAATTCGATGAGTTAGGTCCTAAAAATATTGAGAATTAAGGGGCGAGTATAACCACTCAGTAATCAAGTTTTACTTAACCCATATAGTTGCATATTAATTGTAAATAAGTGCAATTAGGCAATTAAGCACATGTATCACAAAATATTAGGCCACAGTTCACAAAACTAACAACTATGTGATCGAACTTATCACAAAACACTTCATCATATTATTTAGTAGAAATATAACACATGGTCACAAAAATAATAACCATGCGCCTTCAAAACATGTCGAACCATAAAACTAACAACCATATGGCTAGACTTATATGTATGATCATGTGCCAACTTTATATCCTCTTGTTACCTCCGATACGAAACCGATGGCTATCACGTGGCTACGTCCTTCACAGACTAACCTAGTCTTCCACTTATGAGGATCTACCGGGCTAGGGTGAACTCACTTACTTGTATAATCTGGTTTCTTCCATACTAATAATCATAAGGTATCGTACCCCTAATCTAGCTTCCTTATAAATCGGTGGAGACTAGTTAGATTTGAGTCCCTTATAGAACAGGTGGGATAGTCTCAAAACAACCATGAAAAAATGGCTAACTCTCTATTCTAACGATTGGTGCCAAGGCTAGTTCCCAATTTTAATGGTCACTGCTAATTACCACGTGGATTTCAATCAATCTACTCCTCTCCTTAGGTAAACTCCCGCCAATGATCATACTATGCACATATTTCACATAATATGTATTTTAACAATCATTTCTTAACATATAAACTCTAACACAAATGCTTTATGATTTAACACAGAATTTATCATAATTCTCTACCCATAGTAATAAATCACAATTAATTTCATAAAACACTAAGGGTGGCAAAATCAAGGTTTTCTTTCCAAAAATCATTTCACAAATCAACACTTCACCAATATGTATTATCAATTTAACTCATAAATCAAAATTCACAAATAAAATTAACATTCAACTATAAAAATTAAGTTTTCCTTGGTTATCTCAAACCTTTGAAAGGTTAAAGGTTTACCCCTCACTATATTAACTTTCCAAAACTTCAACAAGCTCGAATGGTGTCAAAACAAACCTCTCGACATCCATACCACAAGAACATCATCATTGTCTAACTCTTAAAGCTTTATCAACATAAAACTCCACACACTCTTTTTTTATCAACTCATAATCACTACTCAATGGGCTCATTAGGTTCTATTAATGTATATTATCATTGATGACACCTCAAACTATCATGAATGCACATAAACCTCTCTCAACTATCTCATAAATATAAATTTTTGGATAATAAATGCTCCTATGGGCCAACCACTTTCATAATCATTAATGTGATATTCCAATACATTAAACAACTCTTATTATATTTATTTTAACCAATAGAATCAGACCTATACTCCTATGGATCAAAAATTTATCTCCTAACTCAAACCCTACCATAAATCATCATAAATGAGGGAAAGAAAGGAAGAAGAAAGCACCATAAACTTATTTTGGGTGGTTGGGAGCTTCAATCTATTAACAATAGAACTCAATGTCATGCCCTAACAGAGGTAAATCGAGCTCTTCATTTTTCTTCTTCTTCTTCTTCTTCTTCTGTTTTTCTCACACAAAAATGAATCAGATATATTTGATTTTTTGCTGTGCGTCGTGATGCACAATGCCCTTTGCCACGGCGTATGGCATAAAGGAGTCCGTTACATTTAAATTATCTCTGTGCGCTGCAGCAAACCAACCATGCGCCACGGCATGTGACATAAAGGATGGTTCTTTATTGTTTTTCTTCCTCTTTCCTTGCACGAGTGGCCAGTCATTGATTCGAACTTACTTTTAGGACTGAAATCACAACAATTATGTCAAGTTAAGCTCCTCTGACCACACACCTCATTAACTCACTAATTACCTTTATTAAGTTGATAAACCAGAGTTAAATTTTTTCAGATGTTACACACAATGAGCTACAAGGGTGCTTAACCTTATACCCATCCTAAACGACCTGATTTTGTCTTGAAAGGTTTTTCCTAGCCTAAAAAAAATCAAGATGACACTTTATAAGATAGGACAAGAAAGAGGTTCAGGATGAGACGAGACAAAAGGTCTATCCGAATATTATATATATAATTTTTATTTTAAAAATATACATTAAATACATTAATTATATTAATATAATTTATACTTATTTTGATTATATTAATTACATTAATAATAATTTTAATATGCGCAATTCCTATTTAAAATAAGGAGCCTTTTATATTAATAATTTTAATGACATGGAGTAAGCAGTACAGAGTAACCTCTGTTTTTTATTATAATATATTAATTATATTAATATAATTTACTTTTATATCTATCTATTCAATATTTTTTTATTTTTGAAAGAGTCACTAGTTTAACATATTTTAACTAAAGAACAAGATTACTTGATATTGTTTCAGATTTTATAAAATTTATTTTTTTAATTTTAATTTATATTTATTATAAAAAATTATAAAATTTTAATAAATTTATTTTATTATCAATCTAAACAATATAAATTTAATTTAAGTAGTTTAATTTAATATTATTTTTTTAAAATTTTTATAAATTGACTATCTAGATGTACTCTAAACAGACTGGATTCAAAGTACATTTGAATAGTTAATTTATAAATTTTTTTAAAAATTAATATTAAATTATATCATCTAAATTAAATCTGTATTATTTATATTGATGATAAAGTAAATTTATTAAAATTTTATATTTCATTTAATAATATATATTAAAATATAAAAATACAATTGATAAATTTAGACCGTTTAAATTAAAAATTTAAATAGTTCAGATTGCTCATCAAGTGATACAACATGTATGAATAATTGAAATTGAAATAATAGGATCTCAAGTGTCATACAATAGACAAAACGAAGACATCAGAAGGGAAAGATTTTTATTTTGCCAATAGAAGGGAAAGAGTTGACCGAATGACTCAACGAACATCATTCACATCTGTTTTGGGAGGGGATTGCGAACTTGCCCGTTGAGACATTGAATTTTGGTAAAAAGATTTTCATTTATTTTCAATTTTTTTAATATTTACCATCTAATTTAGGTTCTAACGATACAAAATTTCATCGCAGTCTTAAAAGTGCTCATCCAATCCGTTTAGTCGTTTGGGCTTCAGCCCTTTACTTAGAAGAAAAGCGCTAAATTTAATTGTCCAAACCGCGCTATTGTCCATTAAAAATCACTACACGTGGCTAAATCTCTAGTGGCCCAAACCTTGGATCGCCTATGGCTGCTGCTTTCACTTTGTTTGCCACTGCCTTGTACCACGTGGGTGTTTCTCGGTTCCGAATCATCGCCAAGCCCGAATCTTTTTCACATTCGCATTCAGCTCCGTTCTCATTCACTGGCAAAACAAAGGCACGACGACAATTTCCTCTTTTAATTTTTGTCAATCACTGGCCTAAATATTCTTATTTTTAATGTCTGTGTGAGCTTCCCTTTCCTGCAGAAACCGTGTAGATTCCGATTGATTTCAATGGCCGCGGAACCCAAAGAGTCACCTGCCAACAACCCCGGTCTTCTGGCAACCCCTGATGAAGCTACTAAGGGATACTTTATGCAGCAGACTGTGAGCTTCTATCTATTCATATCACAAATTTCTATATCGATTATGATTATCTCATCGGTTTTCGATTGTAATTTTAGATGTGCCTGTTTAAACTCTCAACTGCAGATGTTTAGAATCAAGGACCCAAAAGTCAGCCTGGATTTTTATTCTCGCGTCTTGGGAATGTCGTAAGTGATTCTTTTGAGCAAAATTTCTGAAATGATTATTAACACGCGAAAATGGTAGAAATGGGCTTAAAAGTATGTATTTCCCAGTTCACTTGTTTCTTCGCTTCTGTAGGGTGAACTATAAACAGTGTTTTATTTATTTGCTATCAGATTTTTCATTCAAATCGTGATAGATATTGGCCAATAGAATTACATATAACAAACCTAGCTCTGTATGACCTAACAAACTTCATCCGACCTTAGTTCGTTTTGGGTTAATACTAATTGGAAACCGGAAACGTATTTGGTCGCCATATCTTCCCATTTTGCAGTTATTCGCTGAGACTACCTTTTACCTATGCATGTTTATTCCATGTCTTACAGTGCTTTTATATTGTTTCAAATGTAAGGTGTTGCATTTTTCTGGTTTATATAACTGTAACTATCATAAGCTTTGCAACTGAAACTGGAACTCATTTGAATTCTTCATCAGCGACAAAATACTTCATGGAAGATGATGCCATTTCTCAATGATTTCAGGTTGCTTAAGAGGTTGGACTTTCCAGACATGAAGTTTAGCCTGTACTTTTTGGGCTATGAGGTAAGGCATATATTGTTATGTTTTCCCCCTTCAGTTAGGCAGTGACTATTTGGCTACATGAAGTGGCTGACTAAAATGCAACATGCATTTGCTATGCAATTCTATCGATGCTTGTTCAGAAATATGAAATCTTCAAGAGGAAATTTAAGCACTTGTCATTACAGATTCTCTAAATTCATTTGACAAATTCATGAGTAATCTGTATTTTTTCAAGTTTTGACTTTATGGAGATGTTCCTGATCTCTATCTTACCTGTTTTGTGGTGTAGGATCTGGCAACAGCTCCAAGCAATTCAGTTGATAGAACTGTGTGGACTTTTGCTCAGAAGGCTACAATAGAGTTGACACAGTAGGGACTATAACTTTATCTTTTTTTTTGCCCCCTCAGTGTTTCCTGAAATCATCTACTAATAAAGCAATGTACAGCAATTGGGGTACTGAGAGTGATCCAGAGTTCAAAGGATACCACAATGGCAATTCAGAACCTCGTGGCTTTGGTATGTAACACTTATATCTAATTCTAAAATAGCTGGACTTGTAGAATCTGGCCCAAAAGCTTAAGCCCTCTTCGATTGGCTGGAATTTTAAGTCAGGAAAGGGAAGGGAAGCTGGATACCAGATTTTTCTAGTTTGGCATGCATCGTGTCTTCACAGTTCCTGTGAAGCCTTTTCCTGTAAAAAAGATGAAAGAAGTTTTCCAACATGGGTGCTTGAGAACCTAGATGGTTTCCTGGGAAGCCAATCTTGTGGACCAATTTACCCTCATGTTCCAACTGATTTGACCAAAGTACCCTCCCACAGAGATCTGAACTTCAATGGTGGTAGCTTCCACTCCCACCCATCTCAACACCAGCCACCATCATCTCAGTGTTGGTTGCTGTCTTCCTCACTGTTGCTGATAGCAAGAGTTCACCATTTTAGTTTCTGTCCCTGCAGAATTTTCAGAATCAAATCATTTTCGCAAATATTTTCGTTATGCTTCCCACTGCAGCTTGTGATTTAGCATTACAATTTCATTACCTATTAATTTAGCATGCTCAATCTCAGTAGTCATTACTTAGTTTGGGGAAAATGTGAGGCTAGTGGTAATGACGGTGATTAGAAGAGAGAAGAAGAATGAAAACAGAGGAGGCAGTGGGGTCCATGGCTTGACATCAAGTACACTCCTTTGACATTGATCTCCCTCCACATGGGTCACTCCATCCTTTTTTTGCAGATTTATCCATTCGTCAACAGGCCCTTAATCCTTTTTTTTTTCCTTATATTGAACATTTGGAGTCAATTTTTGTGGAATAACACCGACTACAATTATTCTTGCTTCTTTATATAAACATGATGCTTATGTCCTTACATGATGCAGAATTTGCCCTTTTTTTGAGCCAGTGTTTCCGGGAACCAACCACGTGAAATGGCTTAAGTCGTAGATATCTAGCATTAAATTTTTTTTCCTCAAGCATTCTTCTAGAGATGAGCCCCGAGAGGCATTTAAATTAGTCAATGATGAACTTTCTCAAGATTGTGATGACGCTAGTAGGCCATGTTTTATGAATTTATGTAATGTTTATGTTGCCTAGATGCTGGTGAAGGTGGGAACTGGAGGTTCAAGGATTTCTTGAGTTGGTATTTGTCATATATGGTTTCGTTCATTTCACCTTAAATTCGTTAAACTTGGTAAAACATGCATCATACAAGGCATGTGAAAGAAATTAAGTTAGTGTTTGGATTGATGGATTTGAATTTGAATTTGGATTTCAGATTTGAAATCTAGCATTTCAAAATCTCACGTTTGAAACATTTCAAATCTCATATTTGAAGCTCATGTATTTAAAATCTTTTATTTGGATAGTTAAAAAAATTTCAAATGAAGAGATGAATTGAGATTCGAAACAAAAATAAAAAATTAAAAATATCAAATTTATTTTTATTTTTTAATCGACGATAGATGAGAAAAGATATGGAAGAACACAAAGAGACAAGATGTTTAAAGTTATTGGAATTTTTGTAGAGGGAATTTGAAATTGTAAAGAAATTATAATTTAAAATAGATTTGGATTCATAAATTTTTATGTATCCAAATTCAGGATTTTGTTCAAATTCAAATCCTTGTTAATCCTCACAAACCATAAAGGATTACTGTATTCGTGGTTTTGCATTGCCAAAAATATACATAGAATGAATTGTTCTTGGTTACCCTCCTTTCTTGAATTCAAGACTAAAGAATCTCTGTAGTTAATCTTTCATTGCTGCTATTTACTGGTAGTATTTCATATTAAACTTCGCCTGTTTCAGGACACATTGGCATCACTGTTGATGACACGTACAAGGCATGTGAAAGATTTGAGCGTTTGGGAATTGAGTTTGTTAAGAAACCAGATGATGGTAACAAGTTCTTAGTGCCTGTTCATTTTTTAGGATGATTTTTGTTCGACGTTCAAGGCCTGTTAACGCAGCCAGCCGGTGCTTTCAACTATTTACCTGTCTCCATGGCAGTGCATTTGTGTATGGTGATTTGATATACCTAGGGATGGTTGTCAAGTGAAATATAAGAGTAAAAGGATGAGAGATGTATTCTAATTATAGCTTGTTGAATTTAAATTTAGTGGGCTTGCCGTTGGTCTTAGTGGTGTTGTCTGGATTTCAATAATTTCTGAGGAATTATGTGCAGGGAAAATGAAAGGAATAGCATTTATAAAGGATCCGGATGGATATTGGATTGAAATCTTTGATCTGAAAACAATTGGAAATGTAACTGCAGGTGCTGCTTAAGAATAAGATGGTGCCATGCCAACTTCAGGTAAGACAATTTGGTTTTCCTTTCTGTCAGTATTGTTATTAATAATATCATTGCTATGATGATGATCATAAAGATTAAAAACAAAATAAAAAGACGATATCTTCTTTATTTGGATTAAAAGTGTCTGTTCTGTGTTTCAGGTGGAAGGACTGCTTTTGCATAGGGCGTTTCATCTTGTCTTTGCTTACGTGTCCTTGGAATTGGCTGTGATGGTTTCTTAAGCATTTTTGTGTTACTTGCACTTTTCGCGGAGTATAGTCTGTGCTCATGGGAGACTGCCATTCTTTTCCCCCCCCTGATTTCCTAGTTGCGATTATCTTTATAATGTTTGGAGAGTCGAATGTAAGTTTTGAGACAAGAAACATATTTGATATAATTTTACCAACTTTTTCCAATAGTTTTTCTTTTTTTAAAAAATAATCTTCTCTTCATTTTGTAAGTCTAATGAAAAAATGTTGAAATTAAAGCGCAATCTTGATATTAGATTTGCTGGCAGAAGTCCCGTTATGCCGTCATGGAATTTTTTCACAGAGAGAATTGACCTTATGCTCCTCTGTCTAAGCTGTTGTAACTGACCTTCTACAAGCCTTGGCATGCCTTTATTTTATTTTATTTTATTTTATTTTTTTAAAAAACTCAATCTTGATAATTAAACTACCAAACTTGACTAAACTTGTAAGCCATTCGATCCGAAGTATCCTTTTTTATTATATTTTTATCTATAAATTCAAGAACAAACAAAAATTTGCCCAAGTTGCTGTGCTCTGTTGTTGAAATAATTGTCCATACAGGTGCAAAAATACAAGTTGCTGGTCTCGCAATGGTTTTTGCGGTGCAATATATCTCTGGAGATTTGAAGTTGTCGTCGGTGATATTAGCCGCTAAGAAGAGACAAGAATTTGGGAGGTACAACCAGTCCCAAGAAAAAAAAAAAAAAAAAACTGATTGTGACATTTTTGACAATAAGCTTTTTACTGTTGACAATACCTTCTTCCCTCTGCCATCCCTGAAGTGAAATTGTGCTCCAATCAAATCAGTCCAAAGTCAATGCTTCAACAGCTTTGACTTCTTTTTGTTTCCAAGTAAAAGCCTCCATCCAACTTTAACTAAATTCATGCTCGCTTATCAATCTAACCCTCGCGCTAAGCTCTGGTTAATTGCTTGCACTTGCAAGTTATGCCAATACCTGCCTCTCTAGTCCTTGATATCGATGTCAACTTTTCATATCTCCTTTACCCTTTTGTGCAATCCAATTATCTTTAGTAATGGTTTTGAAAAGATAATGGTTTTGAAAGATCCAGGCAACATGTAAAAAGGTGGTCACCAACGCCATTATGAGATTAAGAGTCCTACATGTCGGCTATAGTATTTTCTAACTCCATTAACAAGACTGTATATGGTGATATCTTTTAAATATTATTTGAGACTTCGTCTCTGGGTCAATGATTCCAAAGGCGTATTCTTTTATACTTGGGCGATAAAAAAAAAAAAAACAAGTTTAAATATACTTTTATTCTGTTCACATATATAGCATTATTAGCAGCGAGGTAAGAATCCGTATTTTTCTACATAACCATTTAATTTTATCAAGTTCGAGCATTGTAAGATTTAATTAGGAGTATGTTTTTTTAAAGGCATTTTCTGCATTCATATGTCCTCAAATCTAAGATCTTGTACTTAAGTGATCATAATTCATTCTACTGGAATCAATGCCTGTCAATAATTAAGATTGTGTTTTATTAGTGAGTTATTTTTCCAATTTATTTTTTCTCTTTTTCCAAATGAATAGAGTGCCAATTATTCGCTCACCTTTTTCTTGGAAACTAAATTAGGATGAAAGGACTTGGATTGAGCTGTATTATTTCTGAATAATGAATGACAACATTAATTAACTTGATCCAGACAAGGGGGGAATTCATAATTTTACAATAATAGAGGGACCAAAAGTCAACATATTAATAAAATACCATCACATCTGACCAATCAGACTAACTGTAGGTCAGTAAGCTTTTGGCTAACATGTGATTAGAATGTATCTGATTAATAAAACAAGAAATAGGTGTTCACGCTGAAGCAATCTTTGTCCCAATAATATATGAAAGCACTGTATGTGCTGTTTGAAATTACGTGCCATGAACGAGAAAAACCCAGATGACTATAGGTCTCAGACAATGGTCAATCAGAGTCCACCAGCTGGATTTTTTTAAGACCTATTAACACACACTAATTAATCTATAGGGGGATCTGAGAAAGAATTTCTGATTTTTTTTTTAATCCCTCGCGCACGCATAATAAAATACAAGTAAAAGACTCCGATGCCTACGAGGCAATTATCTAAAGGTGTACTGCTATTCTGGTAATCCCTCTATATTTGTTGACAACTAATACAATCTTAATAATTGATTAGGCCAAACAAATTTGAAAGTAATTATATATATGTATTTAATCTGTCAGACTGTACCCTTGGGCCATGCCTTTTGACCTTTACACTTCACTAGAAAAGACATTCCCTGAAGGGCACCAAAAATATATATATATATATATATATATAAAATCACTTGAATAATTTTCATTATTCTATACTATACAACCAAAGAACAACCCTGTACATTTAAAGAAAAAAAAATGTGACAGTACAGAATAGGATTCAATGCAGCTGGCAATTTAAATACTAAATAGTTCTTTTTTTTTGGGTGCGCGGATGGCAATTTAAATAATTTAATTTTGAATGACATAGATTTTGCATGGTGAGTTGAAAGGTTAACACTTAACACTTTACTTGTTTAACCCCGGATAGCTATTACTATTCTTGTTCATCCAAATAAATCATAAAAGCTAGTAATATATTCTCCATCTGCTGCTTTCTCTTTCAACTTCTTGCAAAACTTTCTTTGAAAAATAGTCATTTAATTAGAAAACACAATAGAAAAAATAAAATAGTTTGGCATTTATATTTAAATTGATAAAAAAATTATTTTTTGTTAAAAATGCAAGAGAGATTAAATGTTAAAAATGTAAAATATTTTTAATTTTTTAAAGTGTAATCAACATTTTTTTCTTCATCATTGCTAAATGTTTATTTATTTAATTAATATTGAAATTTGTGGTAAACAAGCTCTTGACTGAGTCACAGTTTACATAAGATTCTTCCGCGGGGTTCTCGATGTTGTTTTTCCCTTCTGGTTCTTGTTGTATAAAAGTACCCTTCCATGAAGGGGAAAATTAGACATGCTGGCAACTGCTTCTCCTCCTCAACCCAGAGAGAGAGAGAGAGAGAGAGAGAGAGAGAGAGAGAGAGAGAGAGAGAGAGACCGAGAGTTCTCATATTGTGTGTATAAAGGAAGGTTCATTATATGTATTGATTAAGAAATGAGGATATTTGAAGAATTATTGACTATCGCGTGATTTAAAATCATTACTAATGGTACCATTACGCCAACTTGTTTATTTAACGTGCGCAACCAAATAAAGGAAGGCACTACAGAAATATGCTAATGGTTCTCGGTTTGTTTCTTTCTAGCCTTTCTTTCGTAGTTCGTACCATTAAAGTTGTTAAGAAAGAGAAACGAGAAAAGTTTCTCACTTTTCTAGTTTTCAGAACGTAATTTGTGCTCGGGGCTTGCGCAAAAGAGAAATAGTTACAAAAATCTAACATCATTGTCACGGTCACAGATTCGAGAGGATATACACACAAATTAAAGAGCCAAGGGTATTACCATGTACTGTCGCAATAATAAGAAATGCTTGATTTCATCAACACACACCCACACAAAACCCCAAAAACTCAAAGTCTTTTCTGAAATCTCTCCTCCCTTACCCCATCATATCTTTCTGATTTTACTACTTCCAGTCACTCATCAGTTGCGCTCAGAGACTCATCAGTAGTAGTAGTACATCATCCCCTTCTCCTCTCTCTTGTTTTCCTCAATATTATTAAACATCCCATTATTACCACTGATCATCTGCCTTATCTCCTCAATTCCATAATCCATCAATGGGGTTTGCCCCGAGTACCCACTCGGCTTCTCTGTCCACTGGTTAATAATACTTTCACCTCCGGGCATGAACTTATTGCCGAACTCAAGCCCACCTCCACCATTGGCCATGTAGCTGTGTTGATGGAATTGAAAACCCATTTCTTCTTGTTTGACGTCTCCTCTGCCGTGGCTGATTTGACTGCAGCTTCCATCAGACGAAGTGCTGCAACTTCCTTCACTTCCAAACATGCAGTAGTATTGCATTGGGCCACTAACCAAGGAGACCTCTTGATTTTGAAAATACGGAAAATTGGTGGTCGGCGATGAAGTTGTGTTGTAAGTTGAAGGCACAACAGCAGTTGACTCGAGGCCGGTGAAGGATATGGTTGATGATGGGCAAGGGTAGCAAGAGCTGAAGTCTCTGTAGGATGACTGAGAAGTAAATGGTGGGTTTTGATCATGATGAGAGGATTGAAATAATGCTGGAGGTTTCCTGATCTGATGATTAGATGGAGGAAGCAAGCCCATGAGCTTCTTCTTGAGCTTGGTGTTCCAGTAGTTCTTAATATCATTGTCCGTCCTGCCTGGCAACTGAGCTGCTATAATTGACCACCTGCAGTTTTATTATTATTTGTTCAAGTGAATAACTTAATTTCCAGAAGAGACCGAAGTATGTTCAAACTGTACTGTCAAAAACTTTAATTAAACACCAACATATGCAAGGGGATGCTGGCGTGCATGCGGAAGAACCATACAAACATATAATATAGGCAGGTTCTAGATAGCTACAAGGTTTCGGAATGAGGAGGGAAAACCTAGTTTATATTACTGTGTCCTTTCTTTTCTTTTCACCCCTTTAAGTTAGATTTTAATAATTTTACCAAACACTTGGCCAACGCATGCAGTTGATATAACTGAACTCAAAAGGGGAAAAAATGATGTGTCCAATCTCCACGAGATTGTTGCCCAGAGAAAGAACAAAGTTAGCAAAGTCATGAAAAGGGGAAGTGCTAGTACCTGCTTCCAATATTAGCATAGAGGGTGCATATTATTCTATCCTCCTCATCAGTGAATTCTCCATGCTTAATGTTGGGCCTCAGATAGTTGAGCCACCTCAACCTGCAACTTTTCCCGCACCTTTTTAGACCTGAAAAGATCAAACACCGAGCTGGAGATCTAAGTGGGAGAGAGATAGAGATATTTAATTAATAAGAAAAGGCGAGAGCTTTATTTATATATGCGTCTTTACCTGCTTTCTGAGGAAGAGCGATCCAATTACCTCCAGTCCCGTTCTTGTCGATGTACTCTTTCAGCTTGGAGTCTTCTTCTGGTGACCACGGACCCTTCTTCACATTTGCTTTGTCGCAACAGGGAGCTCTGCCCATCTCTGGTCGTCCTCGTCTTGTTCGTCTTCGTCTTCTGCTGCTTCTTCCGCTTCTTCCCTCTCTCTATCCCCCCTCCGTCCCTCCGTCCCTCTCCCTCTCTCTCTCTCTGTGATAACTTTGATGTTCCAAAGTCGCACTTTTCTAAATGAACTTTGGCGGATAGAGAGATTGTACCTTATAATGAGAGACCTGAGTTTTGGACAGTTTGAAAATATATTTTATAATAGAGTGATGGAGAGAGGGGTGCCCAAGTCAAATGAAAGCTATGGCTGGGCAAATTAATTTCAACTCTTATGGCCATTTAGTTTGATTAGAAGACAAAATTTAATATATACCCCCCCCGGGGAATAGAATTTTTTGATCCCACATTAAATTTTCATGATAAATTTTTTTAACGAAGTTTTTTGTTAATCAATATATATTTAATAAAAATAAAGTTAAAATTAAATAAATTTTAATTTTTTTAAGTTTAATAAAACATGTTGAATAGGACTAGAGGGATATGTATACACACATAGTAATAAATATTTTTTGATTGCAGGCTCATATAATTAAACATTTCAAAGTAATTATTTGAAAGATCTACAAAAAGTGCTTGATTAAAAATTTTAATTAATCTGACCCGCTGTTTGATTACTTAGATGGAGGCAGCTAATTAAATTAATAGATATAACATTAACATGTTCAACGCTGGCGCCCATGAGAAATTTCACACCCTTCCTTCTCTCAAAAGAATCCAAAGTTTGTCATACATACTCAGAGAAACACATAACAGGAAAATTGAATTGATAGCTACAGCTACCAGAACGGTGACACTTTCCAAGCACAAGGCTCAAATGATGACCTAGTTTTCTTCTGCTTAGTGGCGTTCCTTCATATTTTATTCTATTTTTTTACATAACTCAAAAAAGTAACAAAACGATAGAGATAACCATAGATATCTCTGTGTGTAATTATACTGTAAAGTTACCTCACACATTACTCCAGTTAACCCCATATCTAACTATGCAGATAAAAAATGATAATGAAAAGTTGAGAAAATAGCCATTCTATAAATGGTTTGAGATGCAATGATTTTGTAAAAAGCGAAATAATTCATCTATGCAATTAATTATTCCATTCATTTAAAAATATAAGGTATTTTTAATCAAATTTTACTCTTAATAAAATAATTATCTACTTTCAAATTAACTTTATCTTTACATATTTATTTTTATTAAATACTTTATAATAAATATAAAGTCATTATCACTAGAAACACTTTAAAAAAACAATGATTATACCTTTAAAGAATAAAAATACTTTATATTTTTTAATATTCAATTTTTTAAAAAATAATTTATATTTTTGAATGGAGGATATAATTATTTGACTATTCATGAATTATTGTTGGAATGCCTATTTGGAGAGCAGGCACTGTGCATGTTTTGGACAAGGGAAGTGATGAGAATTATCATGAGGTAGATACATATTTGGATGGCATCAGATTCTGCGGTGACTTTAGACTGAATAAATATTTCATCTGATCAGGTGCCGGGGATTGACTCATCAATGCTGTGGTAGCTTGTGAACATCATCGTTTGGGTAATGACACATCGACGAGGGAGAAGGGGAAAACAGAAACATTATGAAAATTTGGCAAAACAGTTCCCACAGGTTTGTGCTGCCTCATTATGACATTCCTACTTGGGAGTGCCTCATGTTCATTTGCGTAGGAATAGAAACCTAATAACTCTCTGTAAGACCCTCCCATATGCAGCTACTTTCATTTCGTAGGCCGTGAGATGACGAACCACTGAACTAACCCGCACCCCCTAGTATTATATATTAATGTATCCATTTCTCGCTACTCCCCCCCCCCCTCCCTCAGATTTTATAACTTATTTCTTTTATGAGCCTCCAGAGAGAGAGAGAGAGGGTAAAGGCTGTATTCTGTGTTATGAGATGTCCAACTTAGATCCATGGCTGGAGTTTTCAAAATTTGCTCATAATCCTCCATGCGATATAGGTGAACTTAAGATTGGTGAGCTTAAGAGGTATTATATACAAATCACGCGCATATATATATATATTTATCGCCATAAATTAATTTGATTGAAATATAGAAGAGTGAGTTCCGTGTACTCCTCCACAATTGATCAAACTGTAGTTTTCGACATCATAACTCATCATTAAGATTTGAATATTTTCACCAATATAATATCTTATGTATATAAATATATAATCATTTACAAGGGGACAAGAATAAAAACCTTCCGGATCTATTACTTTTCTCACGTGCTCAGCATCAAATAATAACACGAGATAATTGCAATCGGGGATGATGTGTATATTACCGTATAATATTGAAACAATACGAGTTAAATACCATATTTTTTCAGCTGGACAAAAATAAGGTAATATTTGGTTAATAGAAATGAATGAATTAAAAAATGAAGGAAAAAATAAGATGATAAAAAAATATAGGTGAAAATATTCATAAGATGAGTAATTTAGTTTATTGTGAATCTTGGTTTATGAAATTTTTGAAGAGTATAATAATTCTCACATATAAAATATATATTAATTATTTTTATCATACTTATTATAAAATAATAATAATTTATTTTATTTTTGTTTTTATTTTTTAACATATTATATTTCATTTCTTTCTAGCAATTAAATGGGAACTAAGAGTAATAAGAAGGGTTATGGATTTTATATGAAAGTGGTTAACTAGCAAAGATAAGAATGAAATTACTGAAGCATGGAAGAAATTAAACTGAATACTGTGACGGCCTTGTTAATATATTTAATTTAATAAACTTTCTTCATTAGTTGTGTCATTGCTAACGTGATCCTACACGTATAGTGCTGCCAACCACCTATATACTGGGCGTACATCAGTTCTCTGAATACTAATTTTAAAATTTCATGATCAATATTATTAACTTATTAAATACGTGCTGATGCATATGCAGATTAATCTCACCCAAATAGCAAATCCCGATATTAATTAATCCCCCACGCAGTTATATTATTCTTTTATCGTGTTCTCCCCTTTGTCTGTTGGATCCGTATCAAAGTACCCCTTCAGTACACAGTGTGGGGTTGTATTTCCCAGAATATAAAAGCCAGTACGCATCAAGCTTTGGTCTTTTAGACATTACATTTTTCTGATTCAAGTTTTATGGGGCAACTGCAGAGCCGCTCATGCACGTACGACAGCGAATTTTATTGGGGTTTTTACAATGGTGGGTGTGTATTGGGAGGCATATAATTTATCCAGGATTTTTTTTCCCCAAAAAAAAAAACAGATGTCTTCTTTTAGAACATTTTTTAAGGAGCTTTGTTTGTAAAAACATGATTTTTATCTGTAATCTCATGATAAGGTTTTGAAATTTAAGCAATTGTCACAAAGTAAGGTCGATGCTGTTAAAATTATATAAGATCATGCGTTTCCCACATGTTTCACTTCTTATTTGCTTTGCACAGAATTAATGAAAGGCAGCAGGAAGTCATTATTGCCAAAAGGAGAATATTATAATGGCCGCGAAAAGTGAAACTTCATTTAGATGGTTTTTTTGGGCCAAGGAACTTTAGATAGGTTAAAGTAACATAATCAACATTAGGAGACAGGTTCTAGGAAGATGGAGATACGCTTGCGCTTCGCATTGAATCTATCTAATCGTGTTAAGTATATAATGCCTGCATTTTTGTTTGCACTTTGCTAATATCACTGTGCATAGTGCTCGCTTACAGTGACATTTCCTGCCTGTTGACCACTATCTAATAATTATAAGGCAATGATTATCTCAAATCGAAACTTGTCGACCTCCACATATAAACCTTCCCCACCTGATTAAACATAAAGTCACTCAATATCTTGTGACCTCTCCAAGCAGTCGTCGACTCTTAATTTTTATTTATTTTTTGTCCTTTCTTTTGTACTGCACGTTGTTTTCAGAATATTGCTCTTAAAATCAGGACTAGCTAGAGGTAAACTTGATTCCCACCCAGCTGGTTAGAACTTGCAAACCATTGGGTTGGCTCCGGACAGTGATGTTGTCCTTTCTTCTCAGTTTGTGTATGATATCGGACTGAAATTTGCTTCTGCTTTTTTTCCTTGACAATGTCACTAAAAGAAAGATGACCAGATAATAAATAATAAATACTTATGACACTATATAGGTTTGTGTCTACCAGGTTTAGGGTCTATCTGCATATTGGACTAAATCTCTTGCTTGTGTACTCAAAATCTCAGTCCTTTGATACAATGTGATGCTGTATAAAGTTGTGACAAGTAGCAGCATCAATCTGGCAGCAGGACATGGAGCAGCGATATTTATAATATTTATATTGTATGTTAAATTTTCATGGCATTAGTTAATACCAAAATTGTAATTACATATTAGCCAGTCATTATTTTCTTTTCGCAAGATATAACGCTTTCGAGCGTATTGATCAAGTGGGTCATTCCTAATACATAGCCGGCTATTAGCGACCGAAAAGTAATTAATTAATGTGTAATTGGCTATGTACAATTAATCATAGACTTTAATAGTGCATGCATGTGCATTTAATGATAGAGATGACTAGTTCAGATACTATTGCCAATTAATTTGATTTGTATATTAATCTACATACACAGACATATGAAGATGGACCCCAAATCCAAATGTTTGTATTCGCCGAGATATGCTGCACAACAATAAATAAAACTATCTAACATAGCACTAGTTTGGCACACATACATATAACAAAAGAAAAAGTGAGAGCTATTTTTCATAGAGTTCTAACTCAAAGTTTTTGTCTTGCAAGCAAGTTGATCTGTCTTCCGTCCTTTCCACCCCCTTGGGAATCTTGGACTTGACAAACAAAATAGGTCTTCATCATCCAATTCAAATATTAGACACAAATTCTTGAAATTTTTAAGTAAATATTACTAATCAATCATCTCATCCTATTCACGCAAGCTAGTTAATCAATTAAGTAATTGAAAGCGTAAGTGTCATAGTCGTCCACATTGACTCTAGAACAGCAAATGATCGTCTCACTTTCTCAACGGTTGGCAAACTAAGATGGACATTTTCGTAGGCTTTGATCGTTTTCCCATTATTGCAATATTAAAATGGACAAGCAGTATCGTTGTCGCTTAATT